AAGGTCTCCACTGTGTGGTTGGGTTTTCCCAAAGTAAACTGAACTAAAATTATGAATTATGAATGCCATGTCTTAGAGTATGAAGACCAGAGAAATGAAAATTCCACCTTCAAGATATCTTGGTAATGTCCAAGCAGCCCTGGGCCAGCTGGTTATGTCATTCCAGGCTCCGGGAAGCAGGAAATGACTGGCAATTTTCTGTAACTGGCCACACGTGCTGACTCAGCATTCACACTGAATGTCTGTCCCAAGATCTGAGAAAGTCCCATAACAGCAGAAGCTTGGGTTTCCCCAGATGGAATCCAAGTGCGGTCACCTCTCAGTTAATGTGCCAAATAGCTGTGTACACAGACCCCATGAGTTTGGGTGCCAAGAAGTATGGCCTGGTTCAGTTTCCTTCCCCAAATATAATCAAGAACACCAAGGTAGGGAGGGGACTACAGAGGCCCCGTAAACTGGACACCTGTTTCCCAAAGGTGCATCCCCTCTGCCAGGCACTGTGCTAAGCTCCTTGTTCAAGGAAGGGCTGTTTTTATTCCCCTTTCAGAGTGGAGGAGATGGAACCACAGAGATGGGAATTCACCTTGTGGAAGACACTAAGAGGTAGCCATTGAAATCCCTTTTCTTCGTCCTCTGTGAAAACAGGACTGTGGCTGAGCTCAAGGCTGGCCTCTATTTCCCAGCGCCCCTGCTGGGGGGCGGCCACGTGCCATGGTCCTCCCCAGCGCCTCCGTGTTCTTCCAGATCCCATGGGAACTGGTCTACCCCTTTGTACTTTCTTTCCTTTTCCACCTCTGGATATGGAAGGCAGCAGTGGGCACAGTGGAGCCCCCAGATAGAAAGAGCAGCTTCTTCCGAAAGACAACTGCCCTGCCACCTTCAACACCAACCCAGTACTAATTCATGAGCAAGAGATACATTTCTAATTATGTTAGAAAATGTAAAGTGTACAGGCAGTCCCAAGTTACAAACATCTGACTGACATACAACACGCACTTACAAACAGAGGCTATTACAGGTGGGTGCACCTGTTCCAATTTACACACAAGTTCAACTGAAGAAGAAGCTGTTACCCGTCTCTTTCATAACCCTGGGACTGCCTAGATTAATTCATGCTGTAATTCACGCCCCAAGCTGTGGCAGAGCCAGGATTTGAACCCAGTTTGTCTGATACCAGGAGTCTCAGTGCCTGACTCCTGTGGTATATGGCCCAGGGTTCACTCGTCTCTAAGGGACCTTGAGGTGTGAGTGTCCCATGAGGTGGTTCCACAAGCACTGGCACTGCCAGCATGTCCCCTCCATTTCCACTGGCCTTGGCCATCCTAAACCACTGGTGGGTTTAGAGTCAAGTGTTCGAAACCACCGTGGCTGCAGCAGAGGGTGCTGCCAAGGCCATGCTACTGCTGCCACCATCTGCAGAGCTGGACAAGGCGCAGACGTCCCTTCCGTCATTGCTAGCCACGCTGGGACTTCTAGCTCAAGCCTGGTGCTCTTGTAGGATGAGGCTGTCACCACCACCAGTCCCGGGCTTCTGCTGGAGAAGAAGTCTGTGCATTCCCAGACAGCTGCTGCCTCCTTCTTTGTGCTATCCTGATAGCAGGTGCCACTGGCGAGGATGCCTGGGAACTCGGGCACTGCACACAGACACCTAAGTGCCAAGGCGGCAACCTGGCGACTGATTTTGGCACTGCTGCATGCTGTGCCCCAGCTTCTGCACTGAGTCTAACAGACACTCTAGGAGCCCTGTCCTCTCCCAGGTGGCCTCATTTCTGGCACCCCTCTCTGCACATAGATGGTGCATTTCATGAGTTGTTTGGACATCCTGAGCACCAATGGGGGCAGTATTCCAGCCAGGGCCCATTTCTCCTTGGGCTTCTGTAGATGGCTGAGGCTGGCAGACGTGAGGACTTGGCTGCCTGCGCCTGCTGTCAGTACCCACCGCAGCCGAGTCAGCATGTACACAGACGCAGGAGGGTGGTGTCGCCCATTCTCCTCCGTGGCAGCTCCAGTCCTGGCTGATGGGGCCTGGATAGAGAGAAAGGAAGACAGACAGACCAGCGACTCATTTAGGGATGCCCTGCTAGTAAAGCCACACCAAGTAAGTGGGTGGCAGATGTGGAGACTCTGTCCACAGCGTCTCCATAGCAGTTGTTGGCAGGTGCCTCCTATCTTCGTGCCTGGGACGGTCCCAGTGAACCTTCACTCCCAACAGCAGCCCCTGTGCCCCATAACTAGGGGACAAACTCCACCATTCTGGGACTAGCTTTGCCCATATGTGCCAGAGCCAGTGGGAAGAGGCAGATGGGTGGAGTAGTATAAATTCCTCAGCTCCCCCCCCCCAACACCACCACAGGAGATTCTGAGGTGTCTCCAGAGGCCCCTGTGGGCTAAGCCACATTTACTCCCAGGTACAGGCTGAATTGTGCCCCCACCACCTCAAAATTCATATGTTGAAGTCTTCATTGCTATTCCTATTGGGGCACAGGGTCATTACAGATGTTAATTAGTTAAGATGAGATAATTCTGAATTAGGGTAGGTCCCCAATCCAATATGACTGGTGTCCTCATAAAAAGAGGAATTTGAACACAGCCATGCACACAGGGAGAGGTCATGTGAGAAGGGGATTGTACCACCACAAGACTAGGAACTGCCAGAAGCTAGGAGAGGCCCTGGGACAGACCCTTCCTTAAAGCTTTCAGAAGGTGTGTGGCCATATACCACAGTAGTCAGGCACTGAGTGACTTCCTTGACCTTGGACTTCTGGCCTCCAGAACTGTGAGATAATGAATTTCTGATTTTTAAGCCACTCAGCTGGAGATGCTTTGTCATGCCAGCCGTAGGAAACAAATACATCTTCTGTGAGCCGTTTGCCTAGTACTGTGCCCCTGTTCGGCCTTCCTCTCTCTTGGCCCACCTCCTTCTCCCTGGTGGTAACCCTGCCTAACCCCTAATGGTCTCATGCACCCTTGTCGCCGGGTGGAATTCTGCCTCCTGGGACTCCCACATAAGGCAGTGGGTTAAAAGGAACTGTGGCAAAATTGCCAGGTCAGAGAGAATGGAAATGGTGAACCGGAGTCTGAAGCCCCAACCAAAGGATGGCAGTAGGGCTCAGCTCCCACCCTAAGCGTCCAGTTTCTCAAGAGACATGGAAATGTGGATTTCAAAAAAGCAATAAAACTAACAATTGATTTTTAAATATTGGCAGTCAACTCCATGCACTCTAATTTTTGTTTTTTTCTTTTAAACTATATAAGTCCAACTCAAAGATGTCTGGACACTAGATTTGGCCTTTGGGCTGGCGATTTACAACCCCAAGGTAAGGGTGGGCTTGGCAGAGTCCACACGCCCCAGCTTTCTATGTTGGGAAAACCTGTGAGCAGTAGGCAGGAGGAGACCTGAGATCTACGCATGATTCTACCACTGGTTAGCTGTGTGCACCTTCTTATGAACTTCACTGAGCCTCAGTCTCTCGATCTATAAAATGGGTACCATCTCATGCACCTTTCCTGACAACTGGGGTGGCAACTGCGGCAGATTGATGTAACTTATTTAGCAAACCCTTGCTATGTGCAAGGAGTGTGCTGAGCATGTGACAGAGCATTAACTCCTGTATACCCTTTCAACAGCCCTCAGAGGCAAGTACCATGGTTCTCATTTCCCTCAAGAGAACTGAGGCTCAGAGAGGTTTTGTAGCCTGTCCAAGTACTTATATTTCCCCCAGTGGATAAGAGGTGGAGCTGAACTTCAAACCCAAGCAAATGACTGCAAGATCTGCTCTTAGCACTTGGCTGCCTCCCAATACATTAAAATACTTCACAAACTGCTGTTTGGTTTTTTTGTGTTTTGGGAAGTAGGGAGGGGAGAAGCTGCCTCTCAGCTGTGCCTGTGGAGCCCTTGTCCAGCTGCTCATGGGAAGAACTGAGTGTGGGCTGGCCCTGTGGTGTAAGGCTTCCTGGCCCAGTCTGGACAGCGGCCAGGCCCAGTCAAAACAACTCAGCACCGTTTCTTCTCAGTGGAGCATTTCCCGTAAGTGGTGGCTCCCTGACTGCTGGCAGACCTCCCAGGATGGCACCCAGCCCTAGCCTGGGCTCCTCCTCTGTGATGCCAGACAAGCCTGTGCTTCCAGACTGGCTCTGGAGCAACCTAGTCCCTGCCCCACACCCCATCACAGCCTCCTGGGGGTGGAGGGCCAGGCCGTTGATAGCAGGTGCGCTGGGCTCTAAACCTCATGGCTTGATATGCCCTTGATTTTGACATTCAGGGCAGGGTATTTGGGGGATGAGGGGCACAGGCCTGATCTGGGAGGTGGCTCTGTGTGTGTGTGTGTGTGTGCACATGCTATGTGTCTTAGAGAGACCTGGATTGAGACCAGGGCCCCCAGGAAAGGACCCAGGGCTCTGTGTCCCTGAGCTGTGAGGTCTTTGTCTGTGGACTAGGCAGAGGTTCACTGCGGGGCACATTTCTGGGTCATTCACCTCTTCAAATGAGTACACTTGCTGTATGCTGGTTGAATGCCACTGGTGTACCCAGCATGTGCTTAGTGGACAGAAGAAGTAGTCCACTTATGGAGATAGTAACCTAGTAGGGGCATGGGGAAGAGAAAGTTTTTCAAACCAATAAAAAAAACAAGAGAATTAATGATCGTAGAAAGTGCTAGAAAGGGAACAGACATGGTGGGCTGTGGCCTAGATCCTAGACCCTTGAGAAGGACTGAACAAATGGTGGGACATGAGCTGGGTTTCAGGAGAGACCCATTGGGAGGAGACTTCATATTTCAGCCCTGACCAAATCAGGAGAGAAAAGGCTCCTTGGCAGGGAGACAGCAAGTGCAAAGGCCCTGAGGTAGGAAGGGCTTGAGTGGTCAGACCATGGGTGGCAGGGGGTGAAGAAGGAAAGGCTGGCAGGTCCCAGCTCAGCAGGACCTGGTGAGGGCACCTCTTCCTGTAGGGACAGCCCATTGGACCTCCAGTTGCTGGGGAGAGTGGGGGAGACCAGCATCATGACCTTCGCAGCACTGGACCTGCGGGAAGGACCTGCTGAGTTCTGCCTGCTGCAAGAGGAGACTGAAGGGTCCAGGAGCATCCTGCCTGTTGGGTAACAAACACTGCCACCTTCCCAGCTGCCTGTGGAAAAGGCCCTGCTGGCTGGACATTTCCGCCCTATGTCCTATTGCCCTTGAGCAATGAGAGGCTTTCTCTGGCCTGTTAGCCAACTCCTCTAAGCCCTGGTGAGGGGGCACATCAAAGCTCAGTGGTCTCTTTCCAGCCCACACTCAGTTCTTCCTGTGAGCAGCTGGACAAAGGCTCCACAGGCACAGCTGAGAGGCAGCTACTCCCCTCCCTACTTCCCAAAACATAAAAAAACCAAACAGCAGTTTGTGAAGTATTTTGTTCAGTCCCTCTCAAGGGTCTAGGATCTAGGCCACAGCCCAACCAGGAAATTCCTGGTCTGGAACTTCCCCTCAGGGGAGTGCCCAGCTGGTACTGGACCTTCCCAACCAGGGAAAGACAGACTCGAACTGGGCACAGGCTTCCAGCACGGACCAGAAGCAGCACAGAGCCTCAGAAAGGGAAAACTCAGGACGATCTGGCCATAAGACAAGGCCACAGGCAGGAGACACAATGACATTCACTGCACACCTCCGGCGGGCCTGGCACTGTGTCAATCACCTTTCACAGATTCACAGTTGATCCTTACACCACCCTCTGAGGGAGGGGCTGGCATCATTAGGACATTACAGGTGGAGAAACAGAGCCCCAGGGCAGTAAGCAACCTGCAAACCAGGCCGGGCTCCAAGTCACACAGAGGTTCTTTATCCTGCAGGCAAAGGGCAATTGGTACAAGAGGGTTAGTTAAGCAGCCAGGTGGGGGTGGGGTGGGTTGTGGTCAGATGTTGGACTGGAACCCTGTCTCTCCCACTGGGCAGAGTGGAAGCAGCAGCCTCCATACCTGCCATGCCAGAGCCAGCAGCCCCCTCTCACCTTTAGCCTGGCGTTGCCATGGTTGGCAGTCACAGCCCCCTCCCAGATCCCACTAGGCCCTAAAATCTGCCTACCCGGCACCTGACAATGGCCCTCCTTTCTCTGTGGTGAAGTTGCCAGGTCTAGCAAATAAGAATCAGGGAACCCAGCCATATTATTTTTGCACAGGGTCCTACCCTCACTGTGCTGACAAGAGAGAATGAGAATGACCAAATATGGGAAAAAACAGAAAAGAGATGAGAGAGCTGTGAAAAGCCTCTCAAGAACTCAAAACAGAAACAGCTAAAATGTAAAGGTAGTAGTCGATGGCATGTTAGGGAGAAGGTTACAAAGGGCCACTCAGAGCGGCTATGTTTCTAGCCCTGTGAAAAAATCAGCATGCGCTGTGGGGCAGCATCAATGCAGGGGAAACAGCACGTGCAAAGGCCCTGAGGAGGGGGAAGGCGCAGTTTCTGAGGATGGGCTGTGCCTGGCCAGTGTGCCAGGAACAGAGTGGCTACAGCCAGCCTGCAGAGGGCAGCAGGTCCTGCCACAGTCTCTCCCTGGGTGAGAATTTAGCATCCACCCAATGGGAGAATGAAGGTAGAAACCGCCTGGCAGAGGACAGAGTCCCATTTCTTCCTTTCACTTGAGCACAGGGCACTGCTAGCAATTGCTCAGTGAGCTGAGTAATCAGTTCAGAATGCCTAAGGGCAGGGCCTTGCTTGTGGAGAACCTTTTGAACTCTGGGCTAGCTGCTACCATTCATCCAGCTAACAGTTTGCAGAAAAGGCCCAGCCCTTGTGTTTATCTCTCTCCCTGGTTCCTGCTGAGCCTCAAACTTGCAGTGGCATTTCTGTGGCAAGTTTTCTGTCATCTTGACAACTACCAACTCGTAGGGTAGGGTAAGGTAGGGTGGGTTTCTCAGGATGCAAGATAGGACACATTTGTTTCAGGCAGGCTGAGAATATGGGGTTTTCCATCTCAGGGATGCCACCACCCTAACACAGACTGCGGGAAGAAGAGGCAAAGGACAGAGGGCCCTGGCTCCTTCAGCAAACAAGAAAAAAGCACGGGCAAGAGGCTTCCAGGTTTAAGAAATTAGCTGGGCACAGTGGCTCACACATATAATCCTAGCACTCTGGGAGACTTAGACAGGAGGATTGCTTGAGTTTAGGAGTTCAAGACCAGCCTGAGCAAGAGCAAGATCCCCATCTCTACTAAAAATAAAAAATCTAGCTGAGCATTATGGTGGGCATCTGCAGTCCCAGCTACTTGGGAGTCTGAGGCAGGAGAATCACTTGATCCAAGAGTTTAAGGTTGATGTGAGCTATGATGCTACAGCATTCTATCCAGGGTGACAGAATGAGTTTAAAAAAAAAAAAAGTGTAACATGTAATGATTTTTAGTATATTCATAAGGTCAATCATCACCACTAATTTCAGAACATTTTCATTACCCCACAAAGAAACTGTCTGCTGATGAGCAGTTCCCCTCCACTCTGCTCTCCCTCCCGCCCCCAGTCTCTGGTGACCCCCTGCAACTGCCTAATCTGGGCGTGTCATATAAATGGAATTAAAGAACACGTGGCCTTTCCCGGCTGACCTCTTTTCTCAGCATGATATTTTCAAGGCTCATCTGTGCTGTAGCCTGCGTGAGTGCTTCATTCCTTTTTATGAATAATAAATCATAATATTCCACACTATGCACGGGTCACATTCTGCTCTTCTATTCTTCCATTGATGAACATTTGGCCTGTTTCCACCTTTTGGCAGCTACAAATGATACTACCGTAGTAGCATTCATGAACAAGGTTGTGGGTGAACACATTTTGGTCTCTCAGGTGCATACCTCGGAGTGGAATCACTTGCCGCTTTGTTTCTTGAGTCCACTTTTAGAGCTACCTACTGAAATGTTAAGACGAAATGATAAAACGTTTGCTTCAAAGTCAGTGGATGGGGAAGTAGGGAATGCATCCATGAGAAAGGATAGGCTGTCCATTGAGAATTTTAACTCGATGATGGGTACACAGTGTTTTATTATGATGCTGAACTTTTATATTTGCTTACATTTGTGCATAAAATCTTTTTAATGTTGAGGTTCAGTTGAGAAAGGACTCCCCTGACCCCTTTCTAACACCTACCCAATCACTCTCTAGTAAGAGAAACATAATGTGAACCATGTAATTTTAAATTTTCTAGGAGCCACACCTAAAAAGCAAAAAGACAAAATTAATTTTAATACATTTTCCTTAAAACAACATATCCAGAAGATTATCATTACAACATGGAAGCAATTAAAATCTTATTTTTTTTTTCACTGGCGGCTCCCATAGCTCAGTTGGCAGGGCACTGGCCACATACACCGAGGGTGGTGGGTTTGAACCCAGCCTGGACCACCTAAAACAACGACAATTGCAACAACAACAACAACAACAACAAATAGCCGGGTGTTGTGGTGGGTGCCTGTCATCCCAGCTACTCGGGAGGCTGAGGCAAGAGGATCACTTAAACCCAAGAGTTTGAGGTTGCTGTGAGCTGTGACACCACTGCACTCTACCAAGAGTGATATAGTAAAACTCTGTCTCAAAAAAAATTTTTTTTCACTATTTTATTCCTATTAAATCTCCGAACTCTGGCATGTATTTCACATTGACAACCTGTCTCCATTCAGCCTCACTCCATTTCAAAGGCTCAATAGTGACTTGTGGCTTCCACATTGCACAGAGCAGCTTTGTTTGGGGCCATTTAGTGAACTTTTCACAAATTCTAGTGTCTTTCTTTTTAACTTGGCTTTATTTATCTTCCCACAGCCAGAATATCAGCCAAGAACCCTGTGTATGTCTCACTAATGCTGTTTCCTGGGCTCACACGAATGGGCTGGGCATAGCTGGGGCAAGATTTGACCAGGGTCTGTCTGGGTTTGTCCAAGACTGGTTTCCATGGACCACTGGCAAAGTTGCTGGGGTCCAGGAGGCAGCTACAGGAGGGGAACTTCCTCCTTCCCTGCCCCCTCTGCTTTACCTTCCTGGATGCCCCACCTTGGCTGTAAGCAATGAAGAAGGACCAGGAGTCGGGAGAGGTGGGAGGAGTCCCTGTGAAATGGACAGCAGCTTAAGGGTCACAGGGCAGCTTCACAAACAGGAGGATGGGAGCTCCTATGTCATACCCTAGCCTGGAGCCCCAGGGCTTCTAGACAATACAGGACATCCGGGTAAATCTGAATTTGAGATAAATGACTAATAATTTTTTTAGTATAAATACGTCCCAAAGGTTGCGTGGGACATACTTATACCAAAGAATTAGCTGTCGTTTATCTTGAATTCAAATTAAGTTTCCTTTCTTTATTTTTATTTGCTATTTATGACAGTTCAGACTAGGGAGGAATGAGCCGTTGCCAGGTGCCAGGGCAGGCAGACTGGTGGGATCTGGGGGCAGTGCCACACACAGGAACCCCAGGATGAGAATGGCAGGTGTGGGGGCTACATTTCCACCCTGATGAGAGGATGGGGTGCAGCTTGGGGCCTTTTCTGATCTTAGGTCTGGTCAAATCCCTCTCAACCCCCTTCTTACCCTCTATTACAACTACCCTTTGTCCAAAGCTAAAGAGTCAAACATTCCACCTGGCTTAGAGCCCAACATGGACCAATATGGCTGATCCCTCCTGCCTGCCCCTGGCCATACTCCCCCAGCCTTTGGGCTTCAGCTCCCTGACCTACACTCACCAGAAGTCACTTTCCAGCCCCTGCCTCCTAGTCATGGGCTGCTTGGGTCTCTAGAGGGAAGAGCTGTGTGTGCACCTATGTCCCAGGTGCCATCTGTCCTGGGTACACCCAGTGTGGGGCCAGGTCTGTTCTGCCGTGAGGACAGATGCCTCTCAGGGCAAGGGGCGGGTCTAACATGAGGCTCCAGTCCTGTCCTGTGTGTTGCTGGCCCCACCGGGCTTTCTCAGACTTCAGACCCCTCTGCTGATCACTATAGCCACTGCCACCAGGGCCACTGTTTTCTGCACCCGTGCTCTGAGGACAGCATTTGGCATGTGTTTTCTCTAGTCCTGCATCATCTCTGCCAGGTATGTGTCCCCACACTTTGTGACTGTGGCTTCACTTTACAGATGTGGAAACTGCAGCCAGAGAGATGAAGTCCCCTGCCCAAGATAATCCTGTCATGTTTCCAGCCAGGTCTCCTAACTCCAGATGTTGACCTCCAGGTCATCTTGAGGCCAGTGGCTGTCTTGGCCCTGGTGCCCCTTCTCCAGGTTGTTCTGGCTCCAGGGGCAGGGAGCCCAGCCCCAGGGAACAGAGGTGGGGCTGCTCCTGGGAGCTCTGCTCTTCAAACCCCTTAGGGCCACAACCAGCAGAGAACAGTGGTGGGGAGGTCAGTGTTCCCCAATAGTCCAGCTCCTAAGCAACACCCCTATGTTCTTATTAAAAGCAGATTCCCAGGCGGCACCCATAGCTCAGTGGGTAGGGCTCCAGCCACATACACCAGGGTTGGTAGGTTCAAGTTCGGCCCCAGCCAGCTCAAACAATAATGACAACGGCAACAACAACAAAAAACCAGCCGGGC